TTTTTTCCCTTTTTTTTTTTTTTTTTTTTTTTTTCACCTAAAAACTTCCATGTTTCATATAACGAGAAATCTTGGAGGCCGGGGCCCTCACAATTCCACCCGGAGTTATCCCGGCAGCATCAGCCGGTTTAGCTTATGTCTGATCTTATTAAACCACCTACCACCACAAAGCAAAGTCTTTATACCAATCCATTCCGTTAACAACAGATGTGAGAAACCTACATCCTATACTAGATACTACTCACAGTCCTACCAACCCAAGAGGTCCCAGCCTAGCCTACCCCAACTAAACTAAAGCTCTGATCTACCACCATCTGGACCTCGGCCCAAAACGGCTGAGAGGAAACGAGGTTCCTTCCCCCTACCCCTGACACTCACCAACCCACCCCCCCGGTTTGGCCTACTGCGACCAACCACTGGAACCGAGTGCCCTGGTTCAGCCTCCCATCCTCTACCAACTACCTCTACTCTAGCTTCACTGCCTTCTTATGTGCTCAGCCAAGGAGACAACACCAGGTCTCCAGCCAACCTGACGGCAGCCAATTGATTAGCCCTTGCCCATGTGAAAAGGAACCACCTTTTGCCATTTGGCACTCGTCCACTCCCTGCACGTCTCACCCAGTCCGCCACAATCATCGTCCTAATCAAGGCCTTAATTCGAGCCTGAATGGCTTCGTCTGCCGACCACTCGTTTCGGAAAAGGATCTTGTTCCTTTTTTTTTTTCCCTTTTTCATTTTCGTCTGTTTCTTGGTGATGTGTGTTTGGCTGCATGGATGTCTAGAGACGACGGGTTTTGCCGTTTTGTCTGATTGGTGGCGTGCGGTGTGACATCAAGTGAGGCCCAAAACCAGTGGCCGGATTGAGTTCTCGTTTTTCTTCTTCTTTTTTTTTGTTTTTTGGAAGGATGTCATCATGGTGACTGCAAGTGAGGCGGCAAAACCAGTGGCCAGATTAAGTTCTCTTTGTAGGAGTGCTTGATCTGGCGGTTGCTTTTGGGTTTTTGGAAATACGAGTCCGCAGCCTTGCCTTTTTTTTTTTGGGGGGGGGAGCGCACAGCCTTTCCATTTTTTTGGGTGGGGGGCGAACCCGTAGCATCTGATGGGACGAGAGAGGTGTCGGGGAAGCCGTGGTTCCCAACGTGAAAAACGGGAATGGATCTTCCACTATAACATGGGAAGGTGCATTGCTTTTGTGCATGTGAAGAGTGGTGTGGCGAGGCCCCTACTTACCTTAAACCACCAGTACTTGGCCCAGCTATTGAAGCCGAGCCTGAATATGCCCTGCCCGCCAATTTTTGCCGAGCCTACGGGGAGTGGGAAAAAATACGGGACATCTGCTGCTGCAAGCAGGTACTGCCCCTTCCTTTAGACCTGCTGCCAGCAGATGGAACGTAAACAGGCCGTCGTTTTCTTGTTTCCACTCACGCATCCCGTGAAGGATCTTCTCCCAAAAAAAAAAAAGAGAGAAACGTGAACGCCGTGCAGCAGTGAAGCCAGATACATGCGTCGAAGTTGCAACGTCACACTGCCTCTGGGACCTGAGGCATTGAATGCTCCCGGTCTCTCACGGTGAGCAAGTGCAGAAACAGCCAACGATCTGATTACCAAAAAGAAAAAAAAAAAAAACGAGAAGGGGGAAACGGGAAACCAGCATCTGAACGTGATTGCCCTAAGATTCATATAACGCCGTGCAGAAGTGAAGCCAGATACATTCTTCACCCCCCCCCCAAAAAAAAAAATGAAAGAAAGGAAAGCAACCATCTATCTTTATTTTTTCCTGGTCCCTTTTCTTTTTTGTTTTTTTGCCTCCTTGCTACCACTGTCGGCGCGTTTCCAGATAGCAGACCACCAGGACATCGTGCAGTCCTTTTGCCCGGTTTCCATGGGGCCACCAGCTCCCTCCCCCATCGCCATCCCAAGCCTTTGCCGAGGCGCGGGAAACGCGTAGCGTTAACGCTGATGGCCCGCGGCCGATGTATGGGCCAAGTACTGGTGGTTTAAGTTCGTCCTTTTTCTTCTCCCTTTTTTTTTTTTGAAGGGTGATGGCCCTGAGGTATGAAACCTTTTTTTTTTGTGAAGGGTGATGGCCCTGAGGTATGAAACCGTTTTCGTCCAGAGGCCTAGCTCAGTTGGTAAGGCATGCAAGTGGCGTTCAGGAGGTCTTGGGTTCAATCCCCGTTGGCCTCATGTTCCCTCGTTGGAGGCTTGAGCACGGATGTGGCGGCGCTGCGGGCTGCGAACCCGAGGCCTCGCGGTATGTCAGTGACTTTCCTGACTTGCATGGCTGAGCCAACGGTTGGTAAGGTTGGGTCGATCTGGGGCAACCTCACGTCGGTAAATCTTGATTCGGTGGCATGCACCAGCCATTGAACACTGGGACGTGGGCAACCGTAGATCGTTCGATCTTGATCTCGGTGGCGTGCACCAGGTGTTGGGCAGTGGGATGTGCTGTGGGTGATGTCACACGCGATAGCGATGGTAGGCGTGCAACAAGCAGGGCAGTCTGTTGCGTGAGAGAGAGACTGTGGGACAACGAGATGCGCTGGGTATGTATATGCGGGTATCCGGTTGATAT